TAGTGACGTATTCACTGACCTATTTAGTGACTTGTTTACTGACCTATTTATTGAATTATTTACGGACCATTTTCAACCCTATTTACTGACCTATTTAGTCAGCTATTCACTCAATCATTTACTGACTTATCTAGTGACCTATTTACCGAATTATTTACTGACCTTTTTCCCACCTATTTACTGACCTATATAGTGACCTATTTACAGACCTATTTACTGGAATATTTACTGGCCTATTTACTGACCTATTTACTGACGTATTTACTCAATTATTTACTGACGTTTTTCTAAAATATTTACTGACCTATTTAGTGGCCTATTTACTGTCATTTTTCACACCGATTAATTTTAATTATAATGCCAGTAAATAGTTTAGAAAAAGGTCAGTAAATAGGTGGGAAAATGATCAGTAAATAATTCAGCAAATAGGTCACTAAATAGGTCAGTAAATAGCGTAGAAAAAGATCAGTAAATAATTCATTAAAAAGGTCACAAAATAGGTCAGTAAATACGCTCGAAAAAACTCAATAAATAGGTCAGTAAATAAACACGTCACTAAATAGGTCAGTAAATAGATCACTAAATTGGTCAGTAAATAATTCAGTAAATAGGACATCAGTCAAGGCTCATGTATTAGCCAAAACTTGAACCGAGACAGGAATTTACGAAAAATCTACCGTCAGGAAATGCTCCTCTAAGATGAGGAACAAGAGGAAACTTCTGAGTAGGCACCTAAAACCTCAGATGTGATTATATATAGCTTTATATATACCCAGTGACACCAAAAGTATATGTTTTGAAAGATCTCATGTCGGACATACAGGCCTTCGAAACTAACCTCTACCTCGAGTACGAGGGATCACACGATAAGTCGTTACCTCCGAACGAGGAACAGAACATGCCCAACAGTAGAAATCGGCTCTAAATCAGTCAAGCCTCATGTTTTGTCCAAAACTTGAACCGAGACAGCAATTTAGGCCAAAATCTACTGTCAGCCAATGCTCACCCAACATGAGGAACAAGAGGAAACTTCTGGGGAGGCACTAAATACATCGGATGTGATTATATATGGCTTTGCATATACCCATTGACACCAAAAGTCCGTATTTTGAAAGATCTCATGTCGCACATACCGGAATTCGAAACTAACCTCTACCTCGAGTCCGTGGGATCACACGACAAGTCACTACCTCCGAGCGAGGAACAGAACATGCCCTACAGTAGAAATCGGACCTAAATCAGTCAAGGTTCATGTTTTAGCCAAAACTTGATCCGAAACAGCACTTTAGGAAAAAATCTACTGTCAGGTAGGTGAAGAAGAAAACGAAACTTCTGAGGAGGCACCAAATACCTCAGATGCGATTATATACGGCTTTCCATACACCCAGTGACACCAAAAGTCTAGGTTTTGAAAGATCTCATGTCGCACATACGGGCCTTCGAAACAAACCTCTAAATCGAGTACGTGGGATCACACGACAAGTCACTACCTCTGAGCGAGGAACAGAACATGCCCAACAGTAGAAATCGGCCCTAAATCAGTCAAGGCTCATGTTTTAGCCAAAACTTGAACCGGAACAGCAATTTAAGAAAAAATCTACGGTCAGGTATTGCTCCTCCAAAATGAGGAACAAAAGGAAATTTCTGAGGAGGCACCAAATACCTCAGATGTGATTATATATGGCTTTGCATATAAACATTGACACCAAAAGTCCGTGTTTTGAAGGATCTCATGTCGAACATAGCGGAATTCGAAACTAACCTCTAACTCAAGTCCGTGGGATCAGACGATAAGTCGCTACCTCCGAGCGAGCAACAGAACATGCCCAACAGTAGAAATCGGCTCTAAATCAGTCAAGGCTCATGTTTTAGCCAAAACTTGAACCGGAACAGCAATTTAGGCCAAAATATATTGTCAGGGTGTGTTCGCCCTAGATAAGGAACAAGAGGAAACTTCTGAGCAGGCACCAAATACCTCAGACGTGGTTATATACGGCTCTGCATACACCCAAGGACAATAAAAGTCTATGTTTTGAAAGATTTCATGTCGCACATACCGGACTTCGAAACTAAATTTTACCTCGAGTACGTGGGATCACACGACAAGTCACTACCTCCGAGCGAGCAACAGAACATGCCCAACAGTAGAAATCGGCTTCAACTCACTCATCGCTGACGTTTTAGCCAAAACTTGATCCGAAACAGCAATTTACGAAAAAATCTACTGTGAGGTATTGCTCCTCCAAGATGAGGAACAAAAGGAAAGTTCTGAGGAGGCACCAAATACCTCAGAGGTGATTATATATGGCTTTGCATATACCCAGTGACACTAAAAGTCCGTGTTTTGAAAGACCTCATGTCGCACATAGTGGAATTCGAAACCAACCTCTTCCCCGAGTCCGTGGGATCAGACGATAAGTCACTACCTGCGAGCGAGGAACAGAACATGCCCAACAGTAGAAATCGGCTCTAAATCAGTCAAGGCTCATGTTTTAGCCAAAACTTGAACCGGAACAGCAATTTAGGCCAAACTCTATTGTCAGGCAGTACTCGTCCTAGATAAGGAACAAAATTGAACTTCCTAGGAGGCACCAGATAGCTCGGATGTGATTATATATGGCTTTGCCTGTACCCATTGACTCCAAAAGTCCGTGTTTTGAAAGATCTCATGTCGCACATACCGGAATTCGAAACTAACCTCTACCTCGAGTCCGTGGGATCAGACGATACGTCTATACCTGCGATCGAGGAACAGAACATGCCCAACAGTAGAAATCGGCCCTAAATGGGTCAAGACTGATGTTTTAGCTAAAACTTGATCCGAAACAGCAATTTAAGCCACAATCTATTGTCAGCCAATGCTCGTCCTAGATGAGGAACAAGAGGAAACTACTGAAGAGGCACCAGATACCTCAGATGTAGTTATATACGGCTTTGCATACACCCAGTGACACCAAAAGTCTATGTTTTGAAAGATCTCATGTCGCACATACCGGTCTTCGAAACTAACCTCTAAATCGAGTACGTGGGATTACGCGATAAGTCAATACCTCTGAGCGAGGAACAGAACATGCCCAACAGTAGAAATCGGCTCTAAATAACTCAAGGCTCATGTTTTAGTTAAAACTTGAACCGGTACAGCAATTTAGACCAAAATATCGTGTCAGGCAATGCTCATCCAAGATGAGGAATAAGAGGAAACTTCTGAGGAGGCACCGATTACCTCAGATGTGATTATATATGGCTTTGCATATAC